TTTATTCTTAATTCCAGTTTCATGGTAATTTTTAGATTTATTTGCTCTACCATCTGAGCTAGATCCTACAGATTCATTTTCATACACCTTAATCACATCATTCTTATTGTTCACATTATTAATACCACATTCAGTTTTCGTCAACATTTCTAGTAGGTTTCTCATCATCACATCTATTTTTATAACTTTGTCTAATGGTGCTTCAATTATTTTCACAATCTTTCTTTCTAACTTTTACATAACGAATATTTATTACATTATTTAAACTTTGATCATGATCTTGATCTTTTATAGATGGATATGAACAAGCCAAGTGTCTTTTATAGCGATACAAGAAACACAAATATGATCTATGCTTTTGTTGTTTCTTTTGAAACATTCTCAGATTCTATACAACCTCTTTGACCACAGTTTCTATGATGTTCTTTACCAATGTTACTAAATAATTTTCACATTCTATTCTTTTCAAACTTCAATTTTGTTAAACTTGCCACCAAGGCTCTAATTATGATTAATATAACCTTTTTGGTCTTGCACTTAGCACAATTCTAACAGTTTTCAACATATTGCAGTGAGCAAGTCTGTGTCTTGCCCAGGTCCTTTCTGTCATATAGTTATCCAAACTACCATGTATTCATTGACTTTACTAACAGTCTTTACTTGCTTGGCTAATTTATATGATAACTGGAGTATTGTGCCAGATACTACCACCAATAACAATATGCTCACTAAGATACAGTTTATTTACTAAGAATAACTCCAAGATAATGAAACGAAAGCTAAGCATTTCTCCTATTTGAATCGATGCTTTATATTTATTACTAATTGCTAATGATTACTATATTGTTTATGCAATCACTATTTTAGACTTTTTAATTACATCATGATTATTCAATATAGACTATGCATTAATTAGATCATGATATTCGATTAACATATACCTGATCACTAGTCATATGGGTACTGTGTAATACTGTGACACTATGCATACCATACTTTTGTATTTTAGACAATTTTTTTTAGTTTTTTGTTTCTTTTATATTAAACAACAAGCTCAAAACAAAAAAAAAATTATAAAAATACTATGCAAAATAATTACTGATAAAGAGAAAATAATAATCTTTGCTTATATCAAAACTATGAGTGCTATGCAAGTTACTAAAAAGCTTGGTCATACCTCAACAACAATTTGAAGATTCTTAGCCAAGTATAAAATAACCAAAAAATTGCCAATTTATCTCAGTCCAGATGTCCCCTATTCTAAAGAAATAAGAAAAGACTACTATAGTAAAAAAAGTATTAAAGGAAAGATGTATATATCTGCTCAAAATTGTGAAAAATTTAAACCTTCAATGCAGTATATAAACTATAGTTAGGATCTTACACAATATTAGGTTTTATTTTTGTATTACTGCCTTTAACCTTTTTTGTTACAAGACAATATAAACAAATATATAAAATAGTGCAAACAACATATAAAC